CAATAGTCTTTGTTGCCCCAGTCCTTATAATTATTTCACATTTTCTTGATGCGATAGTCTTCGATTACGTAAATACTATGATTGCCGACGACCATAAATGGAAGTGTAGTTTACAGTTTTCCTCAGCTTTATCATCATGTATTTTTAATGTTTCATTTATTTATGACCCCAAATCATAGTCTCATTTGAATTGATGGATACATTTACGAATGACATAAAATTAAGCTAATCGCGAGTATAGTACTTTTTTGATTCCCGTAACCAGACACCTTAAGTACGACAACTTGGCTGTTACTTCACTGAATGCCACATCTCTCATACCTTGGTCTGATGTAGTCGGTCATTCTAGAAGCAGGTTGCTGGCTCCAATAAATGGATCAATAGAATCTGGTGCTTATTGGGTTTGCCCTGTCTGTTGTCCATTCTACTGATCTAAGAGTTATTTTTTTAACTCTTTCTGGCTGTCTGTGAAGGGTCGAGTATAGGCTGCAGCAATTTGACGAGTGTTGCTTTACAGCGCAGAAACTTGAGCATTACGAAAGAGGATGAAGAAAGACCATTGGTGTTCGAACACCGCCATCTACTTCGCATCGCTTAAGTCTAGTAAGGAAATCAAACAAGCAATACTAAGATTAGACGCAGAGTTTTAGGTAATTTTAGTAGCCCCTGGTTGACTTCTGTATATTGCGTAGGTTTGGGAATGTTTGAAGCATATTGCCAAATAGATTGTCACGGTGCGCGATGTTTGTCGAGGCAGACAATGGGGGTGTGAAAACCTTGATTAGAAGCCTTGCTCATATAGGTCGCTATATGGGGATCAGTCTTAACGATGATTAGAGAAACTGAGTAATATGGCTGATTGTCGTAAACACTGATGCTCACACATCTCTTCAATGTCTTTGTGACCTCCTTCCTTTTCACCTCCACACTGCTCTCGACATTCCAATCTCCCTTATACTCTTTCATCGAAATGGGTAGGCAAAAGACAGCAACCAAAGCACACAAAATAGTGTATGGTTAGTGGTCATTCAGACTGAAACTGAACCTCACGATGTCTCAAAATATACATTTGGTAGCGGCTTAATAAGTCCTTAATCTTAGCAGTTCACTAAATGAGGCCCATTTAAGTTCCTGCTTTCTATGCTATCAGCTGCATATCGTCCTGTTGACTAGTGGGTGAATTAGAAATTAGAAATTAAATACTCTAATGATACGCGTAGTATTTCGCTCAAAATGTTACCAACAAGAACATGTATCGTTCTTGTTCTCACCGAAAAACTTCTGCTATTAAGCGGTCCGAGTTTACAACAGCAAATCAATAGTAATGAAACTTCAGTTGGGTTGTCACATGATATTGAGCATCACGATAACGTACTTAATTTGATCCAAGTTGGGAAAGTAAAGCGTTATGATGCATGATCTCTTAGACACTGACCTTTTGATCAAATCTTCGGGATTACATTCTGTAAACCTAACATATCTTATACGATAGAGCTAGATAACTTCGAGTGAGAAAATCGAACATTGAACAAAATGAAGGACCGTGTCCTAGGATTTCAGTGATTGCACAATACAAAAATGGGTCAACAGATTTTTGGGTTTCGAAAGTATCCAAATTTTACGGAATTTATGCCCATTGGTTAATTTCAAAAAGACCATATTGCAATACTGCACAATTTATGTCCAGGACGATTTCGCTGCATTTCAACATGGGGCATGCTGCAGAAAATACAATGTTATATAGAGCTTTGGCATGGCAACAAGGTAAAATAAAATACATAAAAATAGACAAAACATAAAAGAGGGAGGGGTAAAAGGACCATGTCACCAGCGTAGGGACAGGCTAACATAAAGTTCATTTTGTTGACACAGGGGGGCTCCATCGATTAATAGCAATCGCCTCAGCAAACCTAAGCAATCTTGCGACTCGTGACTTTAAGACAATCCGAAACGCCATGCTTTGGTCGATCTTGTGTTGCGTCATCAGCAGGTGTCAAACAACAGCCAAGGACGGGGTCTTGTTGTTTCGACCGTCGTTTCTATTCGTCGAACCTGACCTCGATTGAGTCATCTAATTTTGGACCCAATTTGGAATATGTTCCACCACCCGATTGCATAATTGTCACTCTGTT